TCCAACGAATACCTATGATTGTGATCGTATCCAATACCTATGATCATCTATATGATCATCAATCACACATCATACTAGTCTTGGTATATCATCATTCCCACAATGATACACGACTAGGGAGTTTAGTATTGTTCATAACAATACATGAATTTCATAACACATAAGTATGCATAATATGTAATGAATAAAACACTCATCCATCCATAAATAGACCGAAAGTGTCAATACATCAAATACATCTAAACAAAACTCGCATAACAGTACATCATAAAGCACTAAACCAACACGAACGTCACGAGAAATGACGGGCATGTAAGGCGCACCTAGTCATGCGATGTGACTAGGGTTTACAGCTAGCTCTATGGCGTGAGGCCATACGGGCATTAATGTGATTGTATTTTGATGTGATATGAGTATAGGCTTAATGCTGAATGTTATATTTTGTGTTTTATCGTTTTAATACCATTCTCGCTGGGAAGGGTTTACTGGGTTCAACACGGGTCATTCACTAAGCAGTTGTACTTAGCCCTCGTAGTTTCACCTTTTTCAGATCACGAGGAGCACGAGTAGCACACTTGGGGTGACGACGACTTCGAGAAGACAGCATCGTGTACGAAGTTTCCTTCTTTGTATGTTTTGAACTATGGAACATGATTTATACGTTTGTATGTTTTTGAACTTCACAGACCAATCTTTCTTTACCATATCTTGGCATTTGTGAACCATCGCAGCGTAAAAGAGAGCTTGTATAGGTTCTCTATCAATGAGATAGTAGTTTGTGAATATGTCTGAATCTTCAGCTTTCGCCAACCTTTCTTTCATCCCAATCGGAGAACATTGTACACGCCCCAAACCTCCGCCTTTACAAATTGCAAAGCCCATGAGAGCTCCTTCGAAAACGGACAAGAGGGTGAAGGCATTTAATAAGCGCTCCATTTTTTTTGTCGACACTTCTCCCAACGATCATTCTCTCTTCGAGTCCCAAACCCTAAATTCCCATTTCTGCCATTAAAGCACGTATTCAAAAGCTCGACAGTAGAGAATATCCAGAGGAAGAATGTCGAACAAGACCTCAATTTTCCCCATGTCTGCATCGCAGCATTTCAATGATTACGAATTCGATCCTCAGATGGACTATTCCCAGGTTCTTTCTTCACTTTATTTGGTCTCCGTCGTCTGAGTTGTTTTGGGTTTTATGAAGTTTTATGGAATGGATCTTGTTTGATTCCGGAGTAAGAACAACTAAAATCTTCTAATTTCGGATTTCCTGTGTTTTTTTTTCTGGTATGAGAATGAAAATTGAAGGTTCTGGAAGAAGAAATGAATCATAAAAGAGAAACATTTGTGAGATCCTCCATTGATGTGCTTCACTTCAAATTCCAGAAACCCATTTCGAGAAGACGATACCCGATCCGAATATCTTTAGTTTTTTTTATCTTGAACTCGGTTCATTAAATCCGGTTTATCGAAGAATCTAAAATTGAATATAAAAAATTGGTTCGACACGTCATACGCCACGTCAGATCGGTCAACACGTTTTTTTTACCAATTAACGTTTTTTTACCAATTAACGCTAAGTACGATTATAGACTTTTTTAATAAGTTCAGTAATTACGTGTTCAATTTTGTAAATTTAGAAATTAGTAGATATTTTTGCAAATTTAGAAATTAATATTAGTTGGGTATATTTAGGTTCTTTTTTCTAATTTTATTTTATAACATTAGAAATTGCGTTTGGTTTTATCCTTTTAAAATAGACTCCAAACATATCATTTCTTGGTTAGCGTGCAGACACGCGTATGTATATATGCAGTAGTTTCTCTTGTGCTTCCATTTTCACAATTCCTCGTAATAAACGACGAAACTCCCAAAAAAAAACCTTAGCGAGCTCGGCAACTATGGAGATCAAGCCTGGTTTATCCGCTCTCGTCACCGGCGCCGCCTCCGGGATCGGTACTGTTCGTGCTGGGTTTTGTTTTTTTTGGTTTAGTTTATGTGATTTATGGTGGTCCTCGCCGGATGCTTTTTTGTTTGAGGCGAAGAAATCGCACTGGCCAACTTTGCTGGGTTTGGATTCTTCGTATTGGAATGGAATTTGGAGTAATGGAAATCTGACCGTTGAATCTGTTCGTGTGTATACGATGTCATTTCCGTCCTTGTGTCCGTATAAATCTGTCACGGACACGAATCGGCGCGAGTTTTTTGGTCCTGAGATTGTTTTCATGTGATAATCTCTGTGAATTCGTTTGTAATTCGTTGATGATGAGAGGTTGATTGATTTTGTGTAGGTAGAGCTGTCAGCTTGGCTCTTGCAGAGAAAGGGGTATTTGTAACATTAGCGGACTTGTCTGAGGAGGAAGGAAGAGAGACTACTTCTCTCGTTCGGAAAGCGAATGCCAAATTCCATCCAGGGATAAGCTTTCCATCTGCAACCTTTGTTAAATGTGATGTGACTAATAGAGGTAATTATGTCGCAGACATATCTGGTCTTTGTTCTCTTCCGTGGTATACGATCAGGAGCTAGTTCAATTACGTTACCGTCCCAAATCTTGTTTGTTGTTTGTAAAAAGTATCATCTGGAACGAGGGTATTCCTGTGTAGGGA